TATATTATATTATGGTAAAATTATTACAATGTGCATTTCCATGACAACAATAATTGTTTAGAGTAAATTAAAATAATAAAAACTTAATATAATAACAAAAAATAAATAAAAACGGTTGTCAATGACAAACTTATTTTAAATGATTTCTTTGATAAAATCCGCAGTTTGGTAGAGTGTAAATCATTTCGTATGTCACAATTAGCAGCAGCTGATTTCGAATTCATAAAGCAGGATATTGCTAAATCAGTGGTAAATTAAATTAATTATGAAGAACTTCTGGTAGTAGAGAGTGATGATTTAGAATCTGATTTTGCGTTAGCCGTAACTCTAAGTCAAAGTGGCCGGCCTGTAGTATTTTTCTCAAAGAGTCTCACTGAATGTGGAAAAAGACAATCATCTATAGAAAAAAAAAGCATATGCGATTGCACAGGCCTTGATGAAGTGGAGGCATTTTCTTATTACCTTTATCCCCTATAGGATCCTTTCAGAGGCACAGTAGATTCACACACATTATTATGATGCATCAAAACAAACTCTAGATTAACCTCTTAATAACCGATTCAGCTTCTTCCACCAGTGGATTTTTTCTGATGATGACTTTGATAACTTTGAACTTTGGTAATTTTACATATTTTCTGATAAGTTTTGGACCAGGATAGTTAAATCATAAGAAATCATAAGAAGAACGATGAGAGTAATGGAAGAAGCGTTCATGTGGGGTACAATTTATGGCTGTACAATGCAAAGATCTTATAGAATTTAGGGCATCTGTTAGAACTTCTTCCCACTTAGTTATCTTAAGTCTTTTTGTTTATCGGGCAAATTGGACGACTTTCCAAATAATCTCATTATATCGTTCTGCTTGTCTATTTCTCTCCGGGTTTTAAGGTGTCATACGACTGGTGACTATACCATGAGTATACAAAAAATATGTAAGTTCTTGTGACATAAAAGATGAACCCCGATCAGAATGAATGTATGCAAGCATACTAAATATAGAGAATAACTGCCACAAACTGTTTATTACAGTAGTCGAACTTATATCTCGGCATGGAACAGCAAATGGGAAGCGAGAATATTCATCTATGATTGTAAGGATATAATGATTGCTAAACACCCCTGGGAAGTTTTCTTTTAGAAAGCTTGCTATACTTGATACTTCGGAGACAGATTTCTAGTAGAATTTTTGTACATAATAAAAAAAAAAAAAATACACATCTTTGTAAAACCAATACACCTTCTTTAACACTCGGAGTTTAAAACAAAAATAATCGAAAATAACAAAAACCGTTAAAGTTTAAATGGTCCCGTGTTTTCATACTGATTTTCCCCTGTTATTAAAGAAGCTATAATAAGAATCTTCCTAATGCACCAATTATAAAAAAAAAAAAACTTACAAAAAATCTCTTGTCGTTTTTCGACTGGAATAAGATTAATGATGAATATAAATTGTAACGGACAAGAAAAAAAAAACACACACCATTTAAAAAAAAATAAATTCCTCACTATACACTTACAATCTAAAAGTACATACTTATATATAACTGTAAATTATGAAAAAATTGTTTAAAAACTAAAGAATGTATTATTGAACACAATGAGACCAATATAGTGTTTCAGCTTATTGTAGCTTGTCGTTTGTAATTGTTTCAGCTTGCCTGTACACAATTTTTAAAACGACTGAAATGTTAATATGCACACGTGAAAATATTTAATAATATAACATTATATTATTCGTGCGTGAAAGCAAGGATTCGATTGAAGACGATTTTTCGTAGGTCCTTATATTATATATATACATTATATAATATATAATAAAATTGTTTTAAATAAACGTTAAATAATTTTTATTTGCAAAATGGATGAAATATTTAGTAATTATTATTATTATTATTATTTTTTAAAGAATGGACTTAGGATACTTTCGTGAAGCTGGCACTACATACATAGCATAACTTTACGAAATAACTCTAACAAATCCTACTCAGAGTTATTAGACATTGTTAGAATTTGTCAGAAAAAATTGTAAAAGTTTTCACACTTCAAAGATTTTAGTGGAAGTACATGTCCAGCACTTTATATGAACAAAAGTATAAAAAGGGTATCAAACAATATCTGTAAGACTATCTCAGTATTGGTAGACAATTGTTAGAATTTGTTAGATAAAATACATCATAAATACATCAATAAAAATCATCTTCTTAACATTGGTTTTTTTTTTTTTTTTAATTTAAATTTGTTATTTAGCCAGCACAAGATTGTACAAAGATAGCGGTTTGTTAAATATTTAATGCTGGCTAAAAAATTGCTCTCAATTAAAAAAAAAACCATATTAGGCTGTTAGATTTCATTGTGATGGATTAAAATAGCTTTGTTAGACGTGTTTTTAAACTTTTTGGAATTTAAGCTTATTTTTTCGGTATGGTTCTCTTCATGTTTACATTATTGTAGTACTGAGTGTGTACCTGGCACTACATATTTAAGGTGAAATATTTCTGAGACTTTTATCTAATAAATTCTAACAATTGTCTAACAATATTGATCTTAATCTTACAAATATTGTTTGACACTCATTTTACATTTGTGTTTCATATGTAGCGCTGGACATGCACTTAGCACAACAAATCTTAGAAAAGTGATCAATTTTAAAATTTTTTCTAACAAATTCTAACAATGTCTAATAACTCCAAGTAGGTTTTGTTAGAGTGTTTTCGTAAAATTGTTCTATGTATGTAGTGCCAGCTTCACGTAGGTAATTAAGATATATGCAATACTATATTTGATAGATAATAATAAACTCTACAATTTAATTTGAACAGAACTTTTGATAAATTGCGTAATTTTCAAATTTAATTAAAAAAAAAAAAAATATTAATAAAACTACCTTTTTTTGCTCAAATTTAAACCCTCCAGAAACACTTAGACGGAAGAAGTAATCATAATTAAATTTAGTTAAATACATTTTTTTATGGTAATGAACCTATGGTATTTTTCTTATAGTTAAGGTTGACGTTAACTAGGATTACAAGCACAGAGAAACCAAGAGACATTATTTAAACTTAAAATAATTAATAACTAAAATCGATAAAAATTCTTTAACAAATAAATAAATACGTAAATTGTATATAAATAAAAATGTAAATTTAGAGTAAATAATCCTTAAACAGTCACCATAATTTTCTAAATCAATGTATTTTATAATTATTAAAAACAACATTTTTTTTTCTATTAACTTCATTGTTAACTTAACTTAAGTTAAGAAGTTAATTTTAACTTTTAGTTAACTTCTAACTTAGTTAAATTGATTGATTATTTTGAATTAACTTTATTTAAATTTAAATTTGCCTTAACTGAATTGAAAAAAATCATTAACTTGCCCAGGCTTATTGCAAATGACACTCTATATTTTATAAACATGACATTTTAGTTTAAATATACGAATATAACGGTATTTAAATTTTTGATTTGTGGTAACCCGTTGACGAGGTATTCTATTTTACAGTATTGGTGCGGGGAAAGTTGTGGAATGCAATTTGTGTAGTGACACGGCGCGTGGCGTTTGAATGTTCCAGATACTACTCTCCACCATATCGAAATAGGTATAGGTATCTTTATGGGACACCCTATATAATAATATGTACGGCGTATAAAATATTTTTACGTTAATGTATGTAAACCTGTGTATATTATGTTGTGTTAACCGCGGAATGTAATTGTTTGATTACTTTTCGGGGTCAACATTTTTTAAGACCACACAACAATTTCCGGTTAATCCCGTCATCTGCATCACATTGTTCTTCAACAACGCCGAGAATTTCGATATAAAAGTTCGAAAATATTATATTTATAGTAGGTGACATACAATTTTTATCCATCGCTGATAGTGTTCATGTACTGACATTATTAAAATGTAATTTTTTTTTTTTTTTTTTTTGTTAATATTATTATTATTGTGAAAAGGACAAATTATTTTTGTAGTTATATAAAAATGTTAAATCAGTTTATCTGTATCTATGTTTGTTTGTATAGAGCTGAAAAAGTTTAATGCACTACACAATTGGAAAAAATGACACTGTTTTTACGATTTTCATCGACATTTAAATTGAATTATTACACCAAAAAAAATTGTAGAAAAATTAGTGGCGTAACTAGAACTTCTGATGCCCGTGATAAAATATTATCTTAAAGACAGAATTGATAAGCAAAAAAAAGTTCATTCAAGAAGACCCTCACCTGCACAATTGGGTCCTCGTTATTAGTTGTTGACCTGTGACGTGCCCACGTTGCTCATACGTTATTTATGCCATTGAAAACAATACTATTATAATATTATAATATACTCACACATTTAGAACTATTAATTATGTTATAACAGTGTGATTAGGAGATTCAAATGCAGGCGTGTACTTTTTATTTTTTACTAAAAAAAGTTAATAATTTAATAAATATAACGGAACATTCGTTATTCGAGAAGGATACATACAGAGTGTTCCAAAAAGATATAACCATTATAATATCTGAGATTTCGATATTGCCCCTTCTGGTCCCAGACGGGCGTTACGCGCAAACGCAAGTGCTCACCACACCAAACCAACCCACGGGGAATTACCCACATACGTTTCCGGATCATTAACCGCCATTATAATATCTCTGGAGATTTTATTTTTTTTTTGTATTACTCACAGGAACAAGAGTTATAAATATATAAATCTCGAACGTCTTAACCACTCGAGAAATCCCAAGATGATCACCTGTCGAAAACTCTGTATGCAACAAGTACGCGCCAACAACCTCTTCGAAAATCTTAGCAGCTAATCACTTGTGTTCATTTTCATTACACGTTTACTTAAATAGCTCAACCTTTCAAATTCTGAGTGTAGCAAAAAATGTACTGATTTTACTGATAAAAAGAAATATGAATTTCGACAAAACCTCTGGCAGATATTTATAGACTTTAAAAAGCCTATGATAACGTTCATCGAGAGAGCGTGGACAACATAATGACTGAATTTGGAATAACGAAGAAGCTAAGGAACTTAGTCAGGATGTGTATGGAAGGAACACAATATCAAATCAGGGTAGATCAGGCATTCTCCGAAACATTTACAGTAGAAGCAGGGCTAAAACAAGGGGATGCGTTATTCCCACTATTGTTTAATCTAGCTCAAGAGAAAGCGATCAGAGAGGTGCAAAAAGAGATAACGGGTATAGAAAAAAATTCAAATCCTTGGTTTTGCTAATGATCTTAACATCATAGGCAATACCAGAGATGACATAGAAAAAGCAACGAAAGTTTTAGAAAAATCAGCAGATAAAATAGGACTAAAAATAAACATCGAAAAAACGAAGATCATGGAGCTTTTATACACGGATGTAGATGTAATGGACCCTGACCCGGATATATGAACGGATATATATGACTGGATATATGAAAAAGTTAACGAGTTGAAATACCTTGGCGTATGTGTAAATACAAAGAATGACTGGTCACAGGAGATTGGGTTAAGGGTAATGAAAGCAGGGAAGACGTCCTTTGCATTATTCAAATTTTTCAAATCTAAAATGCTGTTAAAGAAAACAAAAGTTAGATTCTACACAGTGATGGTGAGAGCTATACTAACATATGGATGCGAAGCATGGACGACTACAAGCGTAACAGAACGAAGACTTACTACCTTCGAAAACAAGATATGGCGTGCGATATGTGGACCCAAATTAGACGCGAACGCTTAAGTTTAACAAGGAACTGATTGAAGAAACAGGAATGACTCTAATTAAATATTACATAAGAGGCCAGAGAATCCAGTGGTTTGGGCACATTATGCGTGGAAGTGATGATAAGATAATCAAAACAGATGGATGAATGTGGTCGAGGAAGATCTAAAAAAGATAGGAATAGATGATTGGAGAAACATAATCCATGATCGAAAGAAGTGGCGTGGAGTTGTGATGGCGGCAAAAACTCTTGTAGAGCAGATAAAACCAGAAAAAGAAGATGTTTAAACAAGATTCGCTCAGAATCGTATTTTGTCTGCAGTTATTTATCGTTTATTTTTAGATATAAATTAAATAACTATATATATTATCTTAAATTTTCAACTTTCCACTTACAAGAGTGATACTTCTATCAGCAATATCAGCATATTTTTACAGTTATGTATACTTATTGTATTTTAATAATTAGTTTGGTTGGAACGAGATCTCTCTTTCCCCCTGTAGTTCAAAACTTGCTTTGTCTGATGACCATTTGTTCTTGAACTTAAAGAAACATTTGAGAGGAAAAAATATGGAGATAGAAGAAAAGTTGAAGACAGAAGTCACCCAATATCTGCAAAAAAGAGATGGTAGCGAGTTTCTATGAGGCTGGCATACACAAATTTCCAGTTCGCTAAAAAATGCATCCAAGGAAATGGTGATTGTGTGGAAAAATAACTCATATATACTGTATATAAACTCATGTAAAACACTAAATTCGATCATAATTATTTCAGAGACTTTATTTTTGGGACATGCCTTGTACATAGTATAGATATTTTCACTACTTAAATATAGCCGGTTTTCTTCCTTTTTATCTTCCGGACATTCATCCCAACCGATACTTAACAGTCGGATTTCAAAAATAGAACTTATATTATTAATATTATAACGTCGACATTTTCGTATTTATATATATTTACTTTAGTAACGACCGAAAGCATTTATTTGCAATATTTGGCACAGCGGAACCAACGAACCGGAACGACGTTAAACAAAATTGGGCGATCGACCGTAGGTAATTGTAGCTGCAGTAACCGAGTAAACGTTTTTAATATTATAATGATCGTAGTTTCTCAGTTAGATGCACATAAATTGCAGTATTATTATTAATATTACTAGATGTCCTGCTGGCGTTTTCTGTGTCACTATTGAACGAAAAAAAAAAGGTGGAAAATGGGTAGTTCGCCCTTGGCAAATTAAAAGAGTAACCTTGGTAACACATGGATAAAAAAAATTTAATTTTCACTTAAAAAATACTTAGAAACTGAATTTTAGAGGGTTGATTTCAATAAACAATGGGTTTTAATAGCTATATACCTTTTCTGGATAATGTAAAAAACAGCGTAAATATCCGCTAGTCGAAAAGGAATTTATTCAATCCAAACTTCGTTTGAGTTTGTGCGAATTTGAACAAAGAATTTTTAGTACGAACATGAATTTATTGAAATTAAATATATTGAAGTTCATTGTTTTGATAATCATTTGTTAGTGTTTTTAATGAGTTCATCACAATGCTTAGAGATTTATTGTCGGTATATCCGGAAGGAAAACAAATAGAGCCGATGGTTTACTGACTCTCGTGAACGCCACGTACAACTATTGACCATGGGAAAAACACGGCAGTTCAAGGTTTATTCCACATACTTCCAACGATGGGCCAACCATAGTAACCACTGGTTCTATGTTATTCTTAAAGAAAAAAATATAGTCTGCAGAGAAATTAAAAAAAACGGTCTCACACATACTTGCACTGTTACTCTTTAATAATATGTATACAAATATTCAGCTATTTTCAAATGATACAAAATATAATAAACATTATATATACAGTGTGTTTTGACGGATTTTTCTAGCGCTATTAATATTTAATTTTTTTTAATTTTTTTTTTTTCAAATCGGTTTATCTTCGAGGAGGACATCAATTTGGAAAAAAATTTAATTTTCATTTTCATCTCCTAAAAACACAAAAAAAATAACTTTTTATTTATTCAAATTAAAAAATGTTCAATTATTTTATTGAATATTAATTGTATCACTCCTAATTAAAACGGCTATACCTAAGAAATTATTAATCGGATATGAATGTGTGACACATTAAAATTGTTTGAATAATATTTTTTACAAAATAGTTATTTTGAAAATTTTCTAAAATAAATCAACAAAAAGTAATTTGTTTTTGTCTTTAGGGAATGAAAATAAAAATTTAATTTTTCTCCAAATGTCTCTCGATCTCCCCCTTGAAAACAAACTAATAGAAAAAAAAAAAAAATGAAAAAAAATTTAATATTAACAACGCAAAAAACACTTAGTGGGACTCACTGTATTTACCTATATATGCTAATGAATCGGCAGTTCGAGAGAATTAAAATAATATTATAAAGCAAATTTTCTAAAATAGGTGAATATTTTGAAACGAATTCTATACGTCCTAATTCTGTGCAATTTAAGTCTGTGCATTTTATTAAAGAAACAATGAAGCAAACAGAAAATTCATCATAATTTTTAATGGTATAGAGCTAGCCAACAATCCAAATCCTAAATACCTAGATGTAGTTTTGGACAAGATTAACAAACAGAATACACTTCGAAAAAACGAAGTTGAAAATTAACACTAAAAAGGATTATTACTTAAGCTAATCGGATCTGCATGGGGTGCGTAACGACATGTACTGAGAGTTACAGCTTTAGGACTGTTTCTTAACCACAGATTTTGAAAACCTAGTGTGGCAAAGGTCTGCATATACAAACAAAAAACACAGCCTTGAATAAGACATGTCGACTATAGTTTAAAAAATACCTCATTTAACAAACTGCATATCCTATTTGGTATAGATCCTTCGGAAACTCAACGATCCGTGTAGACAAATTTCCCAAGGAATTTTAAAAATAAATAAGGAAAATCGAGAAAAAACGTAGAAAAAACTTGAGAATTTACGAAATGTTTTGTTTTCAAATCGCAAATATTACAGCCATTCAAAACACGTATATCCAAACAGCTCAGAATAATTTTCAATTAGCAATGATAAATCGTTATGTTTTAATAAATATTAAATTTCTTCTTTACCTTCTCAACTTCTCAACCATAATAGTTATCCATCCATCGTGTGCATAATATATAAAATTATCATTTTTTTTTTTGTTTTTGTTTCTATACGATGGCGTTCATATGTCCTTTTTATCCATGTCCAGACAGCTGCGTCCATTTTTTCTAAACCCCTAAAATTAAGGGTTAATCCAAAAATTTTGGACGTGCATTTTCTATATTAATCTATATTTTTTACTAAAAATAAAAAGCTAACAATTTATTCGGGAAAAAAAATAGATAGAAATTGTATCCAACTGCAGAAAAAAAATGTTTTATTATTATTGCGGGCATTGGAAAGTGAAATGATTGTACATATTATGTGCAAATTGATCGGTAACGGAATTTATGTTTTTCGAAAGGTATGTTTTTTTTGGCGATCATATGATGTGTTCGTCTACATGTATAGTTTCAAGATTTATGCCACTCGATTTCGATAATCGCAAAAATCGGATAAGTGGCTCCGCAATTTTTTCGCGTAAATTTTCTTACCGGTAACTTTAAATATTTTGATCGAATGAAACCGCCGCTGCCCGCCAACAACAAACTCGACACGAAAAAAAATTCCTTTTCGATTCGTCAATTTTTTATTATTATTGTTCTTTTTTTTTTTTATCACCACACCTATATCTTGTTTGACATCGCCCGCGCAGGAGTTTTACGACGGCGTAAAAATAATTCGAATTCACGCTTGAAATGTATAGTTTTACCGCGCGGGGACCATCAATATCATCGACGGATTTATAATATTTTTTTATTACGACAGATTTTATGTACTCACGAGCCCAGTGTAGGATTCGAAACAACGGTAAAAAGGTGGTTTTTCTTTCTAATTTGGTCTTTATGATATCGCAAACTGCACGGTAAAAGCAAAGCAAATTACATTTCTGGTCAAACTAATCAAATTGTTTACCGCTTAAAGACCGACGGACAAAACCTACCGATCGTGTAACACGATACTACCTAATCTACTTAAAACAATATATTCTAAACACAAAGTATGAATGCATAAAACGCTGACTATTCAACAATAATTTTCATAGACAAATTAATAATTAGTATAAAATCAAAAATATTATTTATCGTCAATGAAACGATGATAAATGTTAATAAAATCGCTATTCTCGTCATTTATATTAAGCAACTATACTGTATAGTATATAAAATAATAGATCGTTTACATAATGTATTCTGTGCTCGAAATATGGTTATTAAGTAACTACTGGATTACCGGCCACCGTCTGTTCACGACAGTCAGTCAGTCTCCTATACGCCGTTTAATGCCGTGCGCTTCCATACGCTTCCGTCGTCTACCCGAACCCCGTAGGCCCCACATTTTGGATGCCCCTTAAGAGTAAATGCCATCCATCGCCCCGACGACGCGTTAGATATGTTTGGTTCAGATAGGTACCCCACGCTGAAAATATACGTTGACGTTGGCGCCTTGATTGGCCCGTTCCTTTACCATTACGTGGTTAAAGTGACACGTTTGTTTGGACGCCGTGCCGTCCGCAACCGTCGACGAGGTTCGTGACAACTGCCGGCCTACTTACCTCGGTCCTCTCGC